GTCGAGGAAAAAAATTCAATTGGTCGCCTAGGTGACTTGTCTCCGACCACCAGCCCCAGGATTGGCTGTCGTCCTCCGTGCAGATGGCTTCGGGAGGCAAAGCAGAGCTTTCAAGGTGCACCAGAAGAGGGTGGGAAGTTGGCTTCCGCTCTCTCGTTATTAAATACCGTAGGGTTGCTGCTTTTTTAAAGTTTGTCTTTCTTGTGTGAAGTAGTTGAAGTGCTGGTAATACGGGCCGTGTTCTTTTTTGCCTATGCATATATTCTTATTTCCATTTACAAATAAAGAAGTTGCATAATCTCCTTTCATTGATTACCAATGGGAATTGCTTTCTACTCTATGTAGAGAGTGCACAATAGAATCGAGGAGTGTTCCGTTCCATCCCAACTGTTCAAGGGCTTTACGTTACCTTTACCTGGAGAAATCTAAAAAAACTGAAAAGTGAGCATTATTGCTAACCAAAATAATTTTCATTTCGAGTTTTTTAGCCAAACTTATTTAAGTTTATTTTCTCCCAAATGAAAGTCCCTCTCCCCTTTCACACTTTAAGCAATGCACACGAAAGCAGAGAGTAGATTCTAAGGCCTATGTTTTTAGGCTGCAGTTACAAGAAAGACACCAACACTGCTCTACTTCTGCATCTATTTCCTGTTCTGTAATCAGCTCGTTCATTATATGACTCCTCCAATGAGCACGAATTTCTGAGGGCCATTCTCTCCCATATAGTTGAACCTTCAGTTGAGATAGGAAGGAAAGAGACAGGGAGTAACTTGTAGTTGGAATCATAACTCAGCAAACCTTTTAGTGAGAATCCCTGAAATTACACCTCATACAAGCACTGGAAAACTTATGTTTATAGGGAGCCACTATATTATAATTGAGAAAATGGTTCTAGTGTCAATTCATGTATATTATACAAGACTTCCATTCATGGCAGAACAATATAACTACTTTTAGATGCTAATCCTGTCAGAATCAATTCCAACTACAATTAGAATGCTATAAAGAATTCTGTGTGGCTCAAGAAAAATATTATTTCCATATATTTGAAACAGGAAATTGTTACAGCTTATAAAGCTGGAATCGTTTTTGTTACATAGTGCTTTTGAACAATATTCTTTCTAATACTGGTTGAGTTCAGATAGAAATCTTATTAAACCTGGAATTTTGCCCAGCACCAGGGAGAAATACCAGTAGAAAACTTTGGAAAATATTTCATATGTCTAATTTCTCTAAAGCTTTAAAGATAAAAAGTAAATGTAATTTATGCCATGTTCTGAAATCCTTTGAAACTTGTAGAGAAACACTTTAAATTCAATATGATCTATGACAACAGATAAATTCTGCTAATCTTCAAGATTAAGATAATTTGGCTAATCAGCCCAGCAAGGCTGACTATTGTTCCTGTGTTAACACAGAATGCCATTTATTTCAGACACAGTCTACTTAATATGCGAGGCTCCTGTAAATGTTAGGGGATTAAAAACAAAGAATTGAGCGACTGAAATTCCTGAGCATCACAACTCAACTGGCTGCGCTAGAGATTTTTAAGGTTGTTGCCTAACATTTGTCAGACAGATGGCGGTAATTACAACAGCTTGAACAACCTATTACATACTGTAGTAATAATACGCGCGCGATAGAAGAGCAGGTCTGTTTATGTATGGAGAAAAACTTCACGGAAGATTATAAAATAATCCTGCTTTTGCTTTTGTCGTTCGGAAAACACGCCAATTAACAAAAAATTAAAAAGGGCGAGCTATCTTCCTTCCCGCCGACCGATAGCAAGCCAATTTCCCGCCGACTTCTAGGCACAGGAGACCCTTGCTCTGCCTCCCGAAGCCGTCTCCATGGGAGATGGCCAGCCAATCCTGTAGCTAGTGGGCGGAGACAAGCCTAGGTGTTCTGCCTCCTTGTAGGCGACCAATCGCATGTTTTCCTTTTGCTTCAACCTCTCGCGACACCTGACTTAGCCGCCGTTCGAATCTCGAACTGCAACTCCCAAGACTCTTTCGGCCACCCGCGGCTCAGCCAATGGCCGCGCACAACGAGGCGAAAGTCTCACCACGGTGGGCGGGACGCGCCGAGACCCAATCGATCTGAAGGGGGAGGGGTGGTTTGCTGCAGCAGCGGAAGCAACACTTCGACTGAGCCCCCTTGCTGTCGGTGCACGTCGCAGTGCTTCGGGGAGTTTTTCCGGAGGGATTCCGCCGCCCTCCTCACCAGGTAAGTCGTGGGAGGAGCTGCCTCGAAGACGGGGGTCTGCCCGAAGCCGTCATCGTCCCTTCTAGTCACGGTTCAGTAGATATCAACCCGAGAGGTCCCTTTTTCTTTTCTCCTAGAAGCTCTGCGCGGGGTTTGTTGTCGGTAGCTGCAGCTTTTTTATTCTATCTGAACATCCGGGTCCTTTATTCTGCGCGTCTGTTCCACATAGTGACCAGGGAGGGATGGGAGGCGGGCTTTAGCTGGCCCTAATTAGCCATTACTTATTTTCTTATTGGTAACCAGGCGTAGCCAATGTGGGTTTCCCTATTGGTTGGCCTGTAGTGCTAGTCTTTGATCCGGATTGGTCGACTGTAGGAAGGTGAGACTTTCCAATTGGCTGGTGAGAGAAGGGGCTGGACTTTTAACGGCGAAGCCAGTGGGTGGAACTTATTTCAAGAGAATAATTCCGCCCGTATCTGAGAGAAAGGGAGGAGCTTCGTGTGACGCCTCTGGCGGGGCGGGGCCTGATTGTGGGCTTCGCCGCTAGTTTTGCGTTTGTCATGAGTCGCTTTTCGTCTTGAGAATTTTACCCTTAAAGTTCTTCCGATCGCGACACTCTCCGACCCGGAAAGTTGAAAGCTGCCTTTAGCCCGGACTGCTTTATTTGGAAGGCGAAGTTCCCAGTGCTATCGGGCACGACGAGACTAGGTCGCCTTGGAGCCGCTGCTAGCCACGTTTCGTTTAAATATACATTTGTAACATGTAAGACTAGCATTATGTTCACCTTGTGTGTCCTAACGGCCTCCGTTAGAGCATGTCTGCAAGGTAGTTTGAAAGGAATCTGAAAGCTAAACGAGAAACGCAAAGACCCGTAAGAAGGTCTTATGCTGTAAAATGTAAAGTAATTGTGGGCTAAGACCTCTGACTGAGTCTTCGGAAAATTTCAGGCAAAAAAATACCAATTTAATGTGGATCAATGGTGTGATGACACATTGTTTTTACAATATACTTTAAGGCTAATTTATTGTTTTAAGAAATATCTGCTTGCAGTTCCCCAAAATAGCCAGCTTTTTCCTTTTCAGTCTGGCACCTGTGACAACGGTGTTCTTTGTTGCTGCTTTCAAATAGAATAGACTTTGAAATAGAAATGTTTTTATACCCAGGAGAAACAATTGTCACTATTCTCACACTTTGAGAACTATCTATCCCTCTGTCTGTCCATTCATCCACCATCTACTAAACTAGTTTAATGAGGATTATTTCCATAAAAGTATATAAAATTGCACATTTATGAGAATGCTTGGAGTTCAGTGTCAGGCTTACACAATTTCATGATGAAGTATTTATTAAGCTTCCTAAAACTATTCAACAGAAAAATTTACTCAAACTTCAAACACATTTAAAACTTAATTCTCTGCAAACTTAATTGATTATCTCTGAACACAGTGTAACTTATTTTTGAATAAACAGTTGATTTGCTTGTCATTGTTTAGCATTGATAGTTGTCTGCTGAATGTCTAAAAACTGATTTGATTTCTAGCTGCTGTTGCATTCATACATTTTATTGCAATTGTTACTTAACATAATTGAGCTGTTTGAACTATATAACTAGAATTTTGATTTGAGAGTGCTTTACAGGTCAGTTGTAAATAACAATATATGAAAGTAAAAATGTGAGCAATAGATTTCACTGAGACTTCTCAACAAAGTATTCAGTAATGCGGGCATCTGAATCTCTTACAACTGCATATGTGCTTCACAGGCGGAAATGAGTTCTCAGCAGTTTCCTCGGACTGGAGTCCCTCCCCCAACTCTAGGTCCAGCTCCTCCAATTTCTACCAGTGGACCTGCTGGACTGATAAATCCAGCAACAACAGGTAAGACATTTTTACCAAGAACAAATTCCATGGAAGTAAGTCCACTGAAATTAAATATAATATTTACACAGTTTAATAAATTCTTATTTTTCATGGTAATGGTTCAAATTTTCTATATTGGGTTCTTTTTCCTTTTCATATAGTAAGTGATGAACCTAATCGAGAATTGGAAGTGACTCCAAGAGATCATGTGGTTCCTGCTAGCTCTCTTCAGTCCCGTGAAGAGAAGCAGGAAACAGTGGTAGTTCGACCATATCCACAAGTGCAAATGTTGACTCAACACCATACAGTGCCATCAGGTGTACCAGTTACAGTGGCAGCTCCTCCAACTCATTTGGCTCCAGCAGTGCCACTTACCTTTCCTGAAGGGCTTATCAAGGTAATGGAAACTAATTTTGTACACTACAATTGTAAATATTTTTCTCTCACATTGGCATTTGATGCCTTAGGTATTTTCAGTTACGCTGACTTATCACAAATAATTAATCTGGATTTCTTTTAGGTTTTTTAAAATTACAGAAAGTAACTGAAAAAAAGAAAGGCCACTATTCAGTAGATATGTAGGAAAAGTATGTAATAACCCAACTTTCATGTATATTACTAAATACCTTTCTATAGGTTCTTTAAATGTGAATTAAACATATATGTTTAATACTCTATTATGATGATTGGTTGCATAGTCAGCCAGATTATTATGATTGGTTGCATAGTCAGCCAGATATTCAGGCTGAATTTGGCATTTTTATCCATCTACTGAATCCAACCCAAGGACTTGGGATAGGCATATGATATTGTTTCATGGTGTTAAAAATATATTTTCAGGTCATAAGCTGTTCCAAATAAAGCAATTGACTAGTGTTGAGTTTGTTAATGCCAATGGTATTCAAGTGGTGCTTCAATTGTTTTGGGATTGCACCTAAGGCTATTATTATTGGTACTATATTTCTTTTGCCACAGTTCAATTTTTATTTGTAGTTCTTTGTGATTTTCTGCAGTTCTTCTCTTTGCTAACTCTGGTACTGCCACATTCACTATTCAGAGTTTTTTGCTTTGTTACTGACATTTGTTAAGTCTAGGATGTTATGTGGCAGGTATTTATCTGTTTGAATTATAAAATTCCAGGGCTTCAGCATTTTCATCTTCTACTACTTTGTCTATTTTGTGGTCTCACCAGGTCTTGCTTGTAGGCAAATGGTATTTCTTGCAGATATTCCAATGCACCATTGTTGCTACTTTGTCATACCGGTGTTTGTAGTCAATCTATGTGATCTTGTGGCAGCTAGCTAGGTAGTCCACTTCAGCTTCTTTGCAGAGGCAACATTATCTGTTTCTGTCTTCTCAGTATTGACTTTGTACACATTTATTAAGCTATTCCGAGTAAAGTTGCCTTTTGCAATTGACTGATGAATTATTATGATTCATTGCAGTCAGCCAGATATTTAGACTGGATTTGGCCTTTTTTTCTATCAAGTTCTTTCCAAGGCTGGGATAAGCAGGTGTGGATGTTTAATAGTGTTACAGATATCATCGCAGTGTATAAACTGTTCCCAAGTAAAGCCACCTTTTGCAATTGATTGGTAGTGAATTTGCCAATGCTGGTGGTGTTCAAATGGTGCCCCAGTTGTTTTGGGATTGCACACAAGGTGCCTATGACTATTGGTACTGTCTTTGCTTTCTTTTGCCACAGTTGTTCTATTTCTGTTTAAAGGCCTTCATATTTTGTTATCTTCTCCAGTTCCTTCTGTTCCATTCTGCTTTTTCCTTACTGCGACATCCACTATCCATACTTTTTTGTGCCTATCTGTTTAAATTCTAAAATCTCAGGGCAAATTTAACTTCTTCATTTTCTGCGACTTTCTCTATTATAGGGTCCCACCAGTTCTTACTTGCAGGCAAATGATATTTCTTGCAGATCTTCCAATGCACCATTGTTGTTACTTTGTCGTGCCATTGCTTGTATTCTGTGCAATCTTCTTGCAGCAGCTACTAAGTAAGTGGTCCACTGTTTTTTCAGCTTTGCATTAGGTGGCACTTGCTGTCTGTTGCTGTCTTCCCAATTCTGGCTTCTAAGGGACTGGTACATGATGACTTCCAGATATTGCCAAATTGCAGCTACTTTGGTAACATGGCCGTAGGGAGGGATGGATGATGAGAGTTTATAATGCAGCAATATCTGAAAAACCACTTGTTGCCTGCTCCTGCCATAAGGAAAAATAACTGTTACATACTCATGTTATTTTTATATAAAGAGGAAGCAATTATATCTTTATGTTATTTTCAGCCTCCTTTGAAGCCCGCAATACCCAGTCGTCCTATTGCACCAGCCCCACCAGCCCCACCATCTACTCTGTCTGGTCCCACCAAAGTCCCTGGCCAGGTTACTGTAACAATGGAAAGTAGCATCCCACAGGCATCTGCTATTCCTGTAGCAACAATAAGTGGACAACAGGTATTTTTTTTCCTGCTAAAATATACTTATTCCTTAAGACTATGGAACAGAAGAGAATGAAAAGGTCTTTAATACACTTCTACTGTAAAGATGTATACTTAAATTTTACCTTTGTATTTGTTTTAAAATTTCAGATTAACCATAGTTATTATAATTGTATTTTATAACTATTTTATATGCAGGGGCATCCCAATAGCGTGCACCATATTATGACAACCAATGTTCAAATGTCAATTATCCGAAGTAGTGCTCCTGGGCCTCCCTTACATATTGGAGCTTCTCACTTGCCTCGAGGTAATAAACTTAATTGTACTTTCTTGTAGCAAATGATTATATAGCAATCTTCTTTGGATAATTTTTAGATATGGGTAATATAGATATTACTCCTAAAGTGAAGCATCTAGAGAAGGCTGGACTTGAATCTGAAGCAATTCTGTTTAACTACATTCTTGTTGGGAGATATCACAGTACATCTTTGTGGCATTATATAGTTCATTGATCATAAAGAAATCTCAGTTGCTTTGGAAATATCACAATATGGTTATGGTTGTATGTTAACGTTTTCTGCAGTTAAGGTCAATGAGACTCCCACTTCAATTCCCATTAAAGAGATTAGTCTTAAGTTGCATTTATATTATGCTAAGCCCTAAGAACAGTTGTTTAGGTTTGTCTTAGCAGCCTGATCGAAATGATGTTATAGTTCATGGTTTACCATAGTATCTGAGCCACTGTAATTTATCCAATTATCAAAATAAGTCAGACCTATCTTCTTTGAAAACAGGAAATATGTTCCATTGGGCAGTTGTAAGAGGTGGCTGAAGGGCTGAATTTCTTTAATATCATCATAGAAACATGGGGTGGATGTTCTGACATTAAATAAATTCAGATCCCCTGAACCATGTATATATGGCACATTGTGTACGTACCCATGAATTACATCTGTGGGTAAGCCAACCTTCAAAGTTTTCATCAAAATGCCACCCAAAGATAAGCTGCCCCTCTAAATTTGGGGAATCTAAATCATAAGCCACTTGTTATAATTAAAACATACCCCCCCACCCCCCCCAGTCTCCCTAGTGTGGTTTATATAAAAGTTTCCTGATAATACTGGATAGGCTCTTGTGACCAAACTAAGGAGACTGAATATAACTAGCCTTGAAAAGAGACTAGGTATGGGTAAATCTGGCACTGCTTAAGGTTTTGAGAGGACATTGCCTAGAAAAAGGTTCTCTATGGTCTCTGTCATCCCATGTGCGGAAGTCAGAATAGTGGCCTTAAAGGAAAGGCAAATTACAATTAAATATTATGATTTTTTTTCCTTATGATAGTGAAATTGACAATGAAACCAACTTCCAAGGGAGATGCTCTCTTATGTTGGATGAGTTAGCCACCCAATGGTTTGTTAGGAACCTTCTAATTTGGAGTTCTGCATGAGGTGTTGGATTAGATGGCCCAGTTGACTTCTTCCAATCTGTGATTTTAAGTGTGTCTGAACTTACTGTTGTATACAGTTACGGGTACTGGTAGTATTCCTTATTTTTTCATCATGTCTCTTATACAAAAGCTACAGTTGACACTTTTAAAATGGAATATTAAATGTTGTTCAGTTATATGAGTATGGTTTCTTTCAGGTGCAGCTGCTGCTGCTGTAATGTCAAGTTCTAAAGTAACAACTGTCTTGAGGCCAGCTTCGCAATTGCCAAATGCAGCAACAGCTCAGTCAGCAGTTCAGCATATCATTCATCAACCCATCCAGGCAAGTTGCACTTATGTGGTATTGTCATTTAATTGTTTGAATGCTTTCTTTTGTCTCTTTCAGTCAGAAATCACTTTGCAGATTTAATGGCTCATTGCATAAATAATCTGGGAAATCCGACAGCTTCTTTTCTTAACGTTATAGAAATAGTTTTGGAGAAGCTACTGTAAATATAGTGAACTTCAAGATGCCTTTCTACTTAAGAGTTTCAATGTCTATGGTAGTTGATTTAAGTATTGTTTTACTCTTCACAGGTTGTCATGCACTTTTTCTTTTCTAGTGCTCTAAAAATAATGCCTTCCGACAATTTTTATATTTTATACAACTGAATGATATAACTTAAATATCAGTACTCATTTTTTTAAAGAAACAGATTCTGAAATAGTTGGAAGTTCTTACAATAACAAAATTGCAATTCCAGTAAGATGCTTTTTTTTCTTGCCTACATAGTCTCGGCCTGCTGTGACAACTTCAAGTACTATTCCACCTGCTGTAGTTGCAACAGTCTCAGCCACAAGGGCTCAGTCACCTGTTATTACTACGACAACCACACATGCTACAGAATCCACACTCAGGTAACCATCAGAGAACACAGCATTAAGTAGACCAAGTATATAATTGGAAGGTATATATGTGTTTGCATGTTGATTTGTTTGTACCTGAGGATCACGTTATATGATCTGGCTGCTATATACAGGCTGTTTCAGGTTGCCTTCTTAGTTCATTGCTCAATGAGCCAAGCCATTTTTGCACAGTATTTTGCTATGCTAATCAGCTTCCGTGCTCTGTAAGTTATCCATGTAATATGAAATCATCCTGATTCATGTTCCAAGAGGACAGTACTTGCTCTTGACATTTAGGTAATGCACATCTTAAGTCATGATATCTCTTGATATCTCTTTTAACTACCTTAAGTAAAATAACCTTTTTTTAAACAGTCGGCCAGCACTGTCAATTCAACAGCACCCACCTTCTGCACCTATCAGTATTCAGCGGCCAGCCCAGCCAAGAGATACAGCAACCAGAATTACTTTACCTTCTCATCCAGCCATAGGAACACAAAAACAGCTTCACAACATGGCTCAGGTAAATTATTTTTAATGCAGTCCAAACAGTTACTTCTTCTCCGTTGAGGCATTCACGCATCACACTTTTGGAGCAAGTGTTTTTTTTTAACTTAATAGATTGCATGATATAAATTATTGCATGTTATGTTGTATGAATAACAGCTTAATGCAGTAACTGAGATCATTCAGTTGTTACTTTATTCAAAAGTTGTTACTTTATTCAATAAATCATGGTTTTAAGCCACATATAAATATTATGTTTTGTAAGGGCTAATAGCTTGGCAACTAGTTCAAGCTGTTACAGTAAGATTTTTAAGCAAATTTTCAACAGTTTTTGATATACAACTTTTTCCTCCACAGAAAACAATTTTTAGTACTGGTACTCCAGTAGCAGCAGCAACTGTGGCACCAATTTTAGCAACAAATACTATTCCTTCTGTGACTACAACTGGTAAGTATCTGTAGTTCTCATTCAGAACTATTTGTAAAACTAAAAAGTTATTAAAGTTGCAAAACTGTTCAAACAAAATCTTTTGTTTTCATAATAGTGAAATGAGTGACAGTAGCAACATTTTGATGGCCATGAGCCATATGTAACATTTGAGAAGAAAGCAAGATTATAGGGGCACAAATATAGTCTAGGATTTGGGGTACATCCCTTTTCATTAGCCCCACTGTGTCATACCATATGAAAAATACTGCTTGACATTTCTTTTAGCTTGATTCTATCAATAGAATATATTACTGTGCATAGATTATCCTGTTCTTCTCATCTATATTCATTGGCAATTTCTACACAGAGATTTAATTGTATTACATTTTTCTTCTAGGTTCCATATCTCACACTCAAGCAGCCACTAGTACAATTGTCACTGTGACTATGCCCTCACATTCATCCCATGCAACAGCTGTGACCACTTCAAACATCCCAGTTGGTGAGTGGGTTCTCTTATACTGTAATTTGATTTGTAATATTTAAGTATTTTATTTTTGTTGTTCCCAGAGGTAGGCAGTTTATTATTTATTAAACTTATATGCCACCCATCTTGCCTAGAGGCGGCTTACAATCATAAAAACAAGATAAAACTTTAAAATAGTAAATATTATCACTAAATTTGGTTTAAAATTGACAAGATGGGAAGGAAGAGAGCAAGATGCACACAGGGGAGGAGATGGGATATTAATCCATTAACAACATCCAGAATGACATGCCCTCAGTGAGATCCCAGTCAGTTGGTAGAGCTAGGTCTTCAGGTCCTTTCGGAAGGCCAAAAGAGGGCATGATGTTTCAGAGGACAGAAAGAGTTCTTCTCTTGGATCCCACTAGTTGGAATTCCTTGGCCAATGGGATCCACAGCATGTCCCTTCTGCCAACATAAGTGAGATGAGCCAATTCCACTGGAGTGAGATATTTCCTCAGACAGCCTGGACCCATGCCATGAAGGGCTTTAAAGATGATAACCAATACCTTGAATTGGACTTGGAAGCCAACAGCAATACAACAAGAGCTGTTCGCATCGCTATGGACCAGTTATAGCTTCTGAATACACTTCAAGAGTAACCCCATGTAGAGTACTTTGCAAGCATGAGATGACCAGGGCTTGAGTGACTGTGTGCAGGGATGCAAGATCCAGGAAAGGGCACAACTGGCACACAACATATAGTTATGCAAAGGCTCTCCTAGCCATGACTTCTGCCTAATCATGGAAACATACCTCCTGTAATGAAGAATTGTAACACTGCCTGAACCCATCTGGCAGTTGCTGTCCTGGAAGCTTTCATTAGTCAGGAGGG